AGAGATGTACGATAGTGACTTGAGAAGATAATTCTTCCCAATAAAGGCGTAATATGAATCATCGCTTCATATGTGAGAATAAATTCAAGTGAAAATAATTTTATTGACAAAATTATTTTCACAATTATTTACATACAATCATATCCTCTCCAACGGGATCTCCTCATGTTGTTCAACAGTTAGAACTCGTTCCTTTAATTTTTAAGATGGGTTGGGAAAACAAATCATTCGGAATTTTGTTTCCGAAATCAGATCTGTTTTCTGGGTGGAGATCGCGGATCTCCGCTCAACCCGGGCGTATATACCCAAGTCTTTTTGCATTATAGTCCAGAATGTCTTTGTTTCAGTAGGCACATATATACCTGCCGGCGTATACATGCCACAAAAGGTAAATCGCCCGCCAGTAACGAGAATTCAATTGCGTAGCCCATATTGCATGGGCGTCTTCTGACAGTCCCCTGAGTATCCACGGAGTGAAACTCTTTGACATTCCCGTGAGCGTCCATTCTTATCCACTAAGAGGATGCCCAGGTGACGGTCGTAATTGACTCGTACGCTATAGTGTACCTAATCGCACATCATGCGTCCGAATATATACATCTAATAAAACATTGACCATTGCCACTCACTGCGGGTGGTGATATTTGTTGATTTTATGCATCTGCACACATGTATGAAAGTACATCACAAAAAGTGGTACATCACGCTTCTTGATAGCCAATTCGCACGCGAGTTGATGTACACTTTACAAGAGATGTCATTTCATCAACACGTCACGCAACCCACCGGGACGGGCGGATCATGCCTCCATGCTCGACTTTATGATCTCCCTGAGGCAATCTGACGTTCAGGAAATCCATTACCCACCACCCCAGGGCAGTAGTGATCATGCCATACTAGGAATCGGTTGGAGAAGAGGCGGCAAGTTTGTACCGAAACCACATGGCGGACCGAACATGTGGCAGATGTCATTCGAAGAGGTGAGAGTCGCAGCGTCAAAACTTTCGTGGTATCGTGAGGGTGTGTATACCGTTGATCGCACCTGGGATACCATAAAGGACGGTATTGTGCACCTTTTTCGATCCATGGCGTCACCATTTTGGCAGCGGACGCATGCTAAATGTCCACCTTGGTTTAAATCCAACCTCAGGTCACTCCTCGGAGGGAAGAACCGGGCTTGGGAATGGTATTTTTCGACAGGAGAGAGTAACGAGCACTACCGGGAAATCCAAAATCAATGCCCGGCGCTCAAGAGAGCCAACCGTCAAGACTTTGAGGATGCCCCGGCGGCCGACTCAATGAAGGCACCAAAACGTCTTTGCTTATCTGAGAAGAAGAAGATTCATAGCGACCATCCCAGCACTCCTGGACGACGGTATCTTGGTTGACTCAAACGGGAGGAAGGTGGAGTTGTTGGGTGCACACTACCACCACTACCGAAAATGAAACAGGAGATACCACTCCACCGTTACCAACTGGCGCATGTTCCGTGCATTTCGAGGAGATAACAGTAGAGGAAATGTTCGCTGCTCTGCAGTCGATAAAACCCATCAGTCCCCGGGACCGAATGGTGTACACCGGTTGGTGGTCAAGGAACTCACCGAGGCATTGAAACCTGTTCAATACGTCCGTGGTGAAGGGAAAACGGCCTCAGGAGTGGAAGAAGGCAGTTATAGTCCCACTGTATGAACGAAAAGAGGATCCCTGCAATTACTGACCTAGGTAANTGACCTAGGTAAAACGTTGGGGCGTCTGATGGCCGAACGGATCCATCAGCACCTGGCAGCGAACGGTCTTTTTTGCGAACAACAGCACGCATTCTAGAAGCGCAGATCTTACTTGTTAAACCTGCTGTTGGCACGTGAACACTGGTCGCAGAACAAGGCAATGAGGCACCCTACGAACGCAATCTTTCTTTATTTCAGTAAATCCTTTGACAAAGTACCTCGTTTGCTGTTAAAAATGGGGACCCTTGGTATCGGGGACTCATTGGTTCGTTGGACGTTAGATTTTATGGGAGGGTGCACATTCTGTATCCGAGTTTCTCAGGCAACATTACACTTGCACAAGGCTTCTACCGGCGTCACGTAAGGCTCAGTTCTATGCCCTTTGCTATTCCTGGCCAACATCAACGGCCTTCCAGCTTCCTGAAGATCCCTGTCTAATTTACGCCGATTTAGTGGTGATAGACGGTTCTGCCGTCATCCGGGTTCGGNTAGTCATTGGAGCCTTATGCGGTTCGCCACTCCAAGTTCCAGGGCTAGTTTGCCGGCTACTCTCTCATCTCAACATGAATACTACAAAAAACAGGAACAATTCTCAAGCGCACTCTCAATCGATAATCGCACTCACTAACTCTCGCGGCTTGAACCATAATATTGATTCTGTACATCAATTTCTTCAGTCCACTTCTTTTCTTGCTCTATTTTCATCCGAAACACAACTTTCCGCTTCTACAGACACCACGCATCTTCAGATTCCCAATTATTCCGTGTACACTTCGTTCATTCCCAAAGCTGGTATTTGTGCTTTCATTCATCATTCAATTGTTTCTACTCCGTTCTCCCACTTAAATCTCACCAAGCACGTGAACTTCAGACTCTGTGGCTGAAACTTCGGTTCCCTTCTTTCAACCATTACTTCTGCACTGTGTACCGTTCCCCAAATAGCATTGTCCTTTCAGTCGTTTATGTTTTGTCGGTAAACATAAATAGCATCGTTGAAACAGATCCCAACGCTCAGTTCACAATTTTGGGTGATTTTAATGTCCATAACAGGGATTTGGCTGTTACACTTTTCAGGGACCGCCCCTTGGACATGAAGCAGAATCATTTGCCCTATTGAACAACCTCCGTCAAATGGTCGATTTCCCGATCCATATCCCTGACCGTGCTGGTGACCACACTCATACCCTCGATCTTATCCTCAAATCCACCTTGCAATTATTTTCAAATGTTGCTGCTGTTCCTCCCCTAGGTTCATCAGACCATTGTCTTATTTCGCTCTCTACCCAAATTATTTGTTCCAATGTTCCTCCCAATTCTAGACGCATATTCTGGCAATATGGTTGATTGGTGCAACTTAACTTTCTGGCTTCCTATCCCTGGAATGAATGTTA